AGCCGAACTACTTTCCCGCCGTCCGTAGCGCCACGCTACGGAGAGATTTCTATCGTCTGGACAGTATTATATAAATTATATATAAATTAGGTACTGTACATATAATTATATATTAATTATATATAAATTAGGTACTGTATATATAATTATATATTAACTTATTGTAACTTTGTTATAATTAAATATATAATTTCCGCCGTCTAGCGGGGCGCCACGCTACGGAGATTTTTACGCTAACTATCGTCTGTAGAGTATGTAAATTAGGTACCGTAAGTCTAATACAGTACTGTAATTTTATACATTTGTTGTGAAAGAAACTTTTCTTATTCAACGGCGATTAAAATTATTTATATTAATGATGTCTCCGAAGTTCAAGGAACTATTCGCAGAAAAATAAGTTATTAGAAATCGGCCGCGGTTTGCTGAGCTGTTCCGCGACGAAAACAATGTTGAGCAATGGCGATGTCGAATGATGACACTCGGTAAGTAATCCTACAATTTTTTATTTATAGCGCAGTTTATACTGATTATTCCCAAAAAAATATATACGTATTTTGGAAATGTTGAGTCAAATTATTCTAGAATCGATTAATTTTATGGAAGAAAACCTTTCAAACAGCCATAAACTTCACACATGTCAAATATGTGAGCCAATCACAGCCCAAGAATTCCTACAACGCGAAATTCGTATAACGAGGAACGTATCTTCGCGTTATAGGGGGTCTACTGTATCTAAACTTTTAAACGTTAAATCTAAAAATTTCGCGTTTCGTGATAACGCGCAGACAAATTACAGCAAATTTTTTGCTTTGTTCTTTTATAGAATGTTACATTCTGGTAAAAATTAAGTAATTTTCAAGCATATCATTCGATCGCCTCAGTAAATGGCATCACAGTCTGTTCAAATAAACCCAACTCTCTATTTTACTACCACAGTGCTGTTCTTTTGCAAATAAAAAGTGCTAGAAAGAAATTGTCCCTTGGTCCCTTGTTATCGTTATGATAAATCGTGACGATTTCAATTTATCATGGGTATTGAAATTAGTCAGAAATCTGATCTAATCTACCACACTTAACATGTCTAACAAAATAAAGCGATTTGAAAACTCCTGTTTTGTACATGCACAAGTATGTCTGTGCTGAGTGGTGGCTTCGTCAAGGTCATCTAGTGACTTTGGGTTCGTCCGGTGGTTTGAGGCTATCGAAATGAATGTATGCGAAAAGACCGAGACCTCTCAATGATGGGGTTCCGTGTTTTCCCCTTCCATTGTTTGTGTTGCAGCACGTTTCTAAAATATAATGATTTCGATGAACAGATGAATACACCAGTCTGCAATCCATTTTCAGGTACAGTAGAACCTCGAAAACTCGGCTCTCGATAACCCGGCACTCCGGATAACTCGGCCACACCCCGGCAGGGTAAAAAAATCCTTAGTTAATTAATTTTCATTATAGACAGCTTTATAAAAGTATAGAAGCTCTCATAAAGTATTTTTCTGAGGTCTGTCTTATCAGGTAAATTACTGTACACAGTGTATTCATTAATTTTCATTTTCATGTAGTAAAGGCTCTATGCCTTCATAAAGGACGTACTTTTCCTTTGTTTAAGGGTATTTGGGCAGTTTATTCTCTGTTATATTCTCAAGTAAACAATACATACAAGTACAGTACATTATTTTCTGAGGAAACACTCGTACTTATTTTTTTAACCCCATTCCCGATAACCCGGCATTTTCACAAACTCGGCCACCCTTCGGTCCACATTAGGCCGAGTTTTTGAGGTTCTACTGTATAACCTAGTACAATGGTTCCCAATTAGTTGTACGCGTAGCCTTGGGGATACGCGCGGCAATCTAAAATCGGTCGGTTTAAAATTTAAATGCATGAGATGAAGCAATCAAAAAAATAATGGGGGACCATCAAAATATCGGCAATTTACAACATGATGTGGAATGCACAAATTCGTTTATTGATAACTAAAAATATTCTCAAAATTTCATTTTAAAAAATGCATATGTGACAATACCTAAATTGTTACGCAAGAAACAAAAATTGTACAATTATCATTATTATCATGTCAGCGAAGCAGCAATAAAATATATACTACCTTCGAATTTATATTAATAGTATGGATTAATATGAATTTCTGCTATAAGGGGTACGCGAGTTTGAGCTCTATCTTGAAGTGGTACGCAGGAAAAACTAATTGGGAACCACTGACCTAGTAGATCCTTGTAAATTAGCCGTATTGGATTTCATTAATTTTAGATTTTTATTTATAAACAATAAAGTCAATTATTATTTGTTTTATATTATTTCTTAATATTTTTTCTTGAAAATTTATAATATTTTGAAACTTTTTCCACAGATTCTTGACTTCATGAAAAGATTCAGATAAATTTCATTGTGTATTACAGGGGGGGGATTT